TTGATAAACTGATTGAAGTCCCTCTTCGTCCAATTCGTGAAACCTTGAGTGAGCAGCTTCTCCTTTTCCGCGACTTCTTCGTCGGTCAACGGTTGAGCCTCGTCTATTTTGCGTTGCTCTTCTTTCTGAATTCTAGCCGCGTCGGAACCAAGCTCAGGGTTCTTTGGGACCTTGTATCCTACAGTCTGACGGAAGTAGTAGATCTCTTGGTCGAGCAACTCGAATAGTCGTGGCGGGAAGAACTGGAAATCTTGGACGATAGGTTGTTTGGGAGGCCTGGGTGCTTTCGGAGCTTTTGGTTCTGATACTCTGAGAGCTTCCCGGAAGTAAGCATCGACAGCGTAATTGGCCTTGCGTTCACGTTTGGGAGGTTCTATCCAGTTACCTAGCCCGAGGATCTTCTGTTTTTCACGGTAGTCCTCCCCCTCGAATTGGTACACGGAATCAGTCGGGGCGTCTACCGTGAAGTTACGCAGGGAGGATTCACCTAAGCTTTCTAGCTTCTGTTTCATCTCCTCCGTTTTTGCTTCACCTTTCTGTAGAATAGTGTCAATATCTTCGTCAGTGATCGCACTGTCCTTCGATGCAAATACTTCGTTCGCACCGTGCCTGATCATGTTCAACATTTCATCTTTGTTCAACGCGGTTTGCTTCGCGTCGACTAATCGGCCTTGTTGAATAACTAGTTTATCTAAACGCAATTTAACCTCCGCCCGTTCTACGATCTTCTCCTCTACAGTGTTCTCCGTGATAAACCTGAACACCCGTACTTGCTTTTGTTGTCCTATACGATGGGCACGGTCCATCGCCTGCAAATCCATCTGCGGATTCCAATCAGAGTCATAAATAATAACTACATCGGCTGTTGCTAAGTTAATACCTAAACCACCCGCACGGGTAGACAGCATAAAAATAAACTTCTCGCTTTCTGGCGCATTGTATTCGTTGATCTGACGCTGCCTATCTTCGTGTGCCGTATTACCGTCCAAACGACAATACTGAAAACATCTCCAATGGCAGTAGTCTTCTAATATATCTAACATTCTGGTCATTTGGCTAAATATAAGAACCCGTGATTCTTGTTGCTGTAACTTTGGCAACAATTTGTCTAGGATTACCATTTTGCCGCAATTGTATACAAGATGTTCGTCCGTCGTGTAAGGTGGACCGGGTTCTGCACCGTCGAACAAATACGGATGGTTACAGCACTTGCGTAACTGCATCAAAATGTTCTGAAGTCGCATCTTTTCAATTTTACCAGCACCATTCACTATATCTATGTCTTTCATTAGTACCTTCGTGTACCATTCCCTTTGCATTTTACTAAGACCAATGTACACCTTGATTTCTTTCTTCGGTTTAAGACCCTTTTCTACTTCGGATTTCAGGCGTCTCAAAAGGAACGGCCTAAGTACAGCGTGTAATCGTTCGACTAACGAGTTATCACCTAAGAAACTGTTAGTATTGAACCAAGAGTCAAAATCATCTGAACTATTAAATACATCTGGCAATAGAAAATTGAGCAAAGACCAAAGTTCGTGTAAATTATTCTGTAAAGGTGTTCCTGTTAATAGAAGACGATTGGCTGTTTTGAATTCCCTCAGTATCTCTGATAATTTTGATTTTTCATTTTTTATCCTATGGGCCTCGTCGATTACCATGTATCTCCAATTGAATTTCTTGAATACAGATTTCTCCTTGATAACCATTTCATAAGATGTTACGCAAACATCCCATTCGCCTGGCATCATAACATCCCTGATGAAAGTGTTTCTAGTCTCTGCATCTCCTATGAGGCAAACTGCTCTAAGGGTGGGACACCATTTTTTGAATTCATTCATCCAATTAGCCAATGTTGATTTTGGTACAATGACTATGTGCGGACCAGGAATGTTTCTGAAGTGTTTCATATATCCCAACAGCGAAATAGTTTGTAGGGTCTTACCAAGACCCATCTCGTCCGCCAAGATACCATTGATACCGTTTTCGTACAAGGATATCATCCAATTTAAACCACGTATTTGATAATCTCTCAACTCACCGGACTTAATGTAGTGTGGCGAAGATTCGAAACGCGTAGTCGGCGCTACGCTGGCATTGCTCTCGGCCAATAATTCCTCATCTTCCTCTTGTTCTGTCTTACGATGCCTGTGATCACCGGAATCAGTTTTTATCTGGGGCTCTTGCGGTTGTTTTCTAGGCCTGCCAGCTTTGATCTTTAAAGGACTTCCGGCTTTGTCCTTCTGATTGTTTGTCATAAAATGAGAGAATATTTCAGTCTGTTTTAGTAAATAATCAAAACGTTTACTTCGATCGGTCTCCAGTTTTGTTTCGAAGTCTCCACCACGAGACGACGTGGTTTCCGCCGAGGATCCATTCGAATTGTCTCCAGTATCACCTGTGTCGGCATTTTCGTCTGGTTTCGACATATTCCTTACTTTCAATGTAATCCTTTATAAGCAAAAATAGAAGCTAAATCGATTTAACGTTTACGCGAACTTGTACTCGATTTAAACACAATTAATCTTCTATTACAACCGGTCTCTGTACTGACGTTCATAAACGCACAACATCAATCGCCGCCATCTTGAATTGCGCGATCCCTCCAAAAGCGCGCTACTACCGCCATCTATAAATACTTACATACCCGCTGTGCCACGGCAATTCAACAAATATTCAAATGTATTCTAATTCAACACTAACGAAGAAAGCTGTATTTTTGATAATAAAAATCTTCTTTGACAATAGATAATACAAATATCTAATATAATTTTTCCTACGTTTATTTGAATGATTAAAACGGATAATATCTTGAAATTAAATTAACGATAAAATAGACAATCAAATAATGAGGAAAATGATAAAGGATATTCTATACTTTCTGTAATGAATTGACCAATGATAAGAAATAATATGATATCTACCAGGAATTGATCTCTTTGCATCGATACTGTTTCCTAGACGACGGAGGCCCGCGAAATGGCAACAAATAGCACACTTGACGTGGCGTACTACTGTGCTCAAGTAAATCGCGGTTCCACCTTGTACCACGTAGTATATCTTAAAATCTTCGATTCATTTCGATCGAAAGGAAACTTTTAATTAATTTTCACTTAAAAATGTCTATTGTTGAACAATCGGTTGTAGGACAGGAAATTGTTGTACCACCAAGTTTGCCGGTTATTCTGAAGCAATTTTGCAAGGCGGCTATTCGAACGCAACCGTACGATCTATTAAAATGGTCCAGCTCGTATTTTCGAGCGTTGGCCGATGGAGAGGAACCACCGACGAAATTAAGATTAGAATATCCACCACCGTGTACCGCTTCCGGTTTAACTTTTGGCTTTTTACGAGTTTTACTCCGTCAATTTGGAGGTACTTGATGTTAATCTTTAAATTATGCATCCATTATGAATATATTAACTTCTTATTGATTCGTTCCTTTTTATTACCATAGGATAATGGCTCTTTATCTTAATTAAATTCAATTGTAAAATTACTTTTATAAATTACCATTTCGCATTTAATTCGTAGATTATAATAAATCGTTACCTGTGGAAACGATTCTACGCCGATGGGACTGTTTATGCTTAGACCGACGGGACCTGAACTTAATTATGATGATTGGAAAATTTCGTCGAAAGTGTCAGGTGAAGAAATTCTTGGCAATCGCTGTTGGCCTTTTAGGCTCTAGCCTCTTTGAAACGATGATCATGATCTGCGAATTATTCACTCACGAACCTGAAGGTGGTTCAGCTATGGTTCCCGTCACGTTATTTATGGAGATCTATGGGTAGGGGTTTAAGTCTAATAACAACGGTTGACAATATTATCAGTATATCTTGTAATTGAAATTTTTCAGTTACTTGGCAGGACTTCGTTGCGACGGTAGCGAAAGAGATTCCTCTGACGAGGATCCGACTGAATTTATCATACGTGACAATGTATCCTCTGCTAGCCAAGAATCCAAATCTTCTGAAGAAAAATCTGTAGATCGTGTTTGTTCAGTCGCTAGTCAGGACACAGAGGCTGATGTGAATTTCGACTTGGAATTAGTGTCTAGAGATGATGTAGATTCTTCGAGAAGTAAATTTAGAAGGATTAATGTTATTAATTTGATATTTATATAATTAATAAGTGAAACATTGTTGTCTGTTTTTCAGCCGATACAATGCCACAATTGATTGATTGTTATACTGGGGAGAAAAACGAGGAAAATAAAACGTCGGAACGGGATACTTCTAATAAAGAAGCATTAAAAGTGAAGAAGAGCAATGAAACTTCTGCTACAGAAGCAGAGTCTAGCAAGAAATCTGAATCGAGCGAAGGAAAGGAGTTGAATAAGGATGAGAATGGATCCGCGAAGAGCGCGTCCAGCTGTAGCACTACGGAAGAGAATACAACTAAAAATCAAAGTGCTCGAAGTACAGGGGATAAGTCTGCTAATGAAAGAAGGCGGAAAAAGAAGATTGTAGACTCTAAGTTAGTCAAATATTATCCAAATATTCCTGGTGAGAATATCCACCTACAAGATATTGTAAAAGGTATACAATATTATTGAAATTGAAATATGTCTTTCTGTAATGTAATGTCAGGTATTGGACCACGTCTTTCGGCTGAAGAAGTAGCAAGCGTGGCAATATGGATGAGCGAATGCGCAAGAGTACAAGAAGGCATGGTTGGCCCGCGAAACCTTCGTCATATGAATTGTCCTCCTTTAGATAGACAAGAAATATCAGAATCATGACGAATCAAAAGATAAACTTCTCAAAATATAATTCTAAGCGTCAAAAGTATAACACTAGATTGTTACAATTATTGTTGTATTTAATAAAACATTAATAGAAATGATGTGTATCTTTAATCACCTGAAACATATTTAAAAATAAAGGTTAAATTGAAAAAATGCAGTATATTTCTTGTTGATTCATATTTAACATTTCAATAAGTACAAATTTGGTATATCTTAAGTCTTTAAGGATTGTAAATTGTCTGAGAAAGAAGATTGTAACAAAGATTCATCGTTCAACTTACTTGACAATTTATAGATCTTACTATATATCTTATTATACAGTCTTTTCGTAGAAAAATTTGTTTACATTCTATACTCGTGAGAACGAAAGATAATCAGTAGTTTATTAATATCACAGGAACGTTTTACTTAATTTTCATTATAATAGTTTGTTCAATTTCAATAAATAATATACGAAAAATAATCACGAATTTACATATATAAAATATGTAACAAACAATATCATTTGTTGAGATGGTATAAATTTCTAAAAACATCGTCTATATATAAATTTTCTTATATACATACCGGTATTTATAAAATCCTTTAGAAGACAATTTCCCTGTCACGGAAGTTACTGATGCATTCAACAGATCATTTATATTCAGGTTTGAGAACTTAAACGAGAAGAGTGGGCAATGCTCGTACTCTGAACAATCGTCGTATCTGATGGTAAAACAAGTGATAAAGAGTAGTAACAAGCAGCAAAACGATAAGACACAACAATAAATTTCTAGCTTTCGCCCTGTTAGCCCTCCACTCAAAAAGTTCACGTCGATGAGCGAAAAGATTTCTATATTGTAAAGGCAATTCAAAAGTGCTACGCAATGGATAAAGAGAGCGATAAAAGTCATTTAACAACGCTCGAACGATTTCGTTCTCAGAACGTCGAAGAGGATCCATGTCATCGTTCAAACATATGAATTTTCTAAAATTTCAATTCAATTTAAATTATATACTTGTTATTAATAAAACTAATTACAACTTACTTTGGATCTCTACGTATCTCATCTAACAGTTGTACTGTCAGAGATACATTGCTGGTCAACATTTCAAATATTTCATTCTTGCCAGCTTTAATGATTTCATGCGGATAAAGCTTTCCTTCGCCAAATCTGGCTTCAATTTTTCTCGATATTGGTTCACAGTTCGCTATCAATTCCTTGGATACAATTGGCTGTAGAAATTATAGAATGTATACAATTTTATATTATTAAAGAATAATATATACTTACAAGAGATGAATCTAAATATCTTTCTCCTGGTGGTGGATTTGATATTTCTGTAATGCTTAAATGATTTGAACAATTTGTTATTGTGTTTTCAAATTCTACAACTAAACTATAATCAAGAGGTAGTGGATACAGCCTAGATAAAAGTGTTCTGATTTCCCTATCCGACCAAGTCCTGAAAATAATAACATTATTATTAAATGATTGATACTTTAACATTATAAAATAAGAAATGGAATAACATACCCTGATTTATCAGTATCAAATTTATCAAAAATTTCTTCAATTGGAATCCTCCGTTTTTCACTGGTCAGGAAATAGAAATATGAGAAAGCGAATTGCATGTCTTCGGAATTCCTAACTTTATGACTAGACGTTTTCTTAAATTCATGTTCGAATTTCTTTTGCATATCAGTGACGATCCATTTATCTATTAAATGGGGCATGTGAGCCGGTACTTTTCTACGCTCAAATCCGTATGCTATGTTATATATTCTATTTACATAGAGCAAAGATTCAGCGTAAGTATCGAGTTGTCTTTTATGTTTCCAGTGATCGGAATACTTAGGTTTATTATTTGTTCTTGCGGTACTATTCATTTCTGTTAAAATCAAATCATTATCGTTTAAATAATGTTTCATATGTATACGCTTGTCGATGTTAGAACTTGGAAATTTAATTTTATTTATCACTTTCGATAATAACGATTTTTGAGTGGATATAGTTTCATTCAAGTGATCATTGAAGTTTATTTCAATGCCATTCATAGCCTTATTGTTTCTAAAGCTATAAGATTTATTTACATTGAGCTTTAAACCCTTCGCTTCCGCCAATGTTTGGTGGGTAAACGTTTCTGTATCATTCCATCCAGAATGTATACTTCTGTTTCCTAATATGTTCAGAAATTTTAATCCATAATTAGTATTTTCTTGAATATCTTGTAGAAACTTATGCGGGTAGTCTCCTTCTTCCTCAAGAGCTTCACTGTCAGTAGGAACTGTTGTGCTATCACAATCTCCCCCTGTAAATAAATTACAAATATTAGTTTAGATATATAATATTATTAGAATTTTATCTTGTTTATATACTTTTGTATCAAAATAAATGTAAACAATGATTGCTACCATCAAATTCGCATAATGTTGTATTACAAGCTGGATCACACGATCCATCACCCACCCAGGCCCAAGGACAAACATCAGAACAATCAGGAACCCACCATGCAAGGTATACTTTTTGGCCACCTACTTGAGTAATGAAATCTTCTGGCCATACTTCAGCTCCTAACATTACATCATCATTAAAATATAAAAACTTATCTGATATCCCAGGAATTCTGTGGAGGTAAAAATAAGAACAACAAATTAACCAGAAAGATGTGCTAACTGATAGAAACTAGTTAAGCTGTATGTTACCTATGAATGTGATTTTCAATAGCAGGACTAGAAAATGTAGGAAGATCACTTTTATTTAAAAATATGTCTTCATGAGTAACAAGAGTAAGTCTAGGATTATCCATATCTAACCAACTAGGTATTTGACCATTGGTAACAATATACACATGTCTAACCCATGGTGCATACATTTCCAATGAACGCAGGGAATATCTTAATTCATCCTTATCATTAAATCTAGAAGGAGCTGTATTAACATCCATAATAGGAACATGTTTCTTAAGATTCTTTAAAAACACAGGATCTGAACCATTCACCCATGTATATACAACATCTATAGGGACATGTTGACATAATTTTTGTTGAAAAGAAATCCCTAATATATTATCATTGAAAGAATGAAATATAGCCTCGTATTTTCCTTTACTCCAAGTTATCCATATCTGAAAGAAGATAAATAATACATTCTTAACAATCAAACTAATAAGGTTTGGTATAAAAAATAGAGAAAAGTTACGATCTTCCTAACCTCACCGAAGTGTATGATACCGATGAATATACAGGTAAATGCTATTAATATCACCAGTAACGAATATTTGTATGAAAGCAGATCGTAACATCGACGCTGTAATAATTTACATGTGCTCATTATATTGATGAAAACTTTACATGCGATTAACATCGCTAAGATTACTGCTCGAATGTATACAGCACTGTTTCCGTGTCCCATTGAATTCAACCGGTAAAAATTTATCTACGAATGTGGCGCTGTTTTAATACGCATGCGTTTTTACGAAGGCACGAATCTTACAATTGTTAAGAAATTGTTCATGTATTTATTTCGTTAAGAATATTTCGTAAAATAAAATGATTATGGAGAGCAGTGCAAATATTACACAAATCAATAAATAAAAAGTTACTTCAGATGGCAGTTTTTACTGACGTCCTTGGAAAAACTATGTTATGTTTTGTATCATTTTAATCATGAGATTGTTACAAACAGTTTGGTAAAAACTTCATAAAAAAAGAACCAAAAATAAAAAAGTTTTAATCTTATATTTTGATTATGTTAGTATTGTCTCACAGGTACCTATACCGCAGTTCACCAGACTCCATAACTGTGACGCGCAGGTTGGAAGATGGTGGGGGAACGTAGCGAGCTCTCTGCTAATCGCTTTCCACTTCGTTTGGGAATATCGCCAATCAGGACGAAGATGCGTACTAGAGATGCGTGAAGAACGAAAACTGGTCTTTTCGCAGTTATGGACTCTGGTGAACTACGGTATACATACACGGGTATTTAAACTTGCTTTTTTCCCGTACGCTGCTTCGGCGTTAGTTGAATGCAATAACTGAAGTCTGTTTGGCCTAATTTGCGATAAAACGTGGGCTGTTTTACCGACGCGGAATTCGGCGCTAACACGGTTGAAAATACAGTTATCATATTATATTCTTCAGTATTGTGCTTCGCGCTAAATACATTGTTATCTAGCGTTGTGTTCTATTAGCTTATAATTATGGTGATTGAATGTCTTAGAGCGACTATTAGGCATACAAATATATCTATTTTACATTGCATTTTACTTTGTATTTGTATTTCAATTCATGATTGGTCCTACTATTTCAATTCCTTTTCTCTTTTATTTCGAAACATTAAACACATTTGTTTCCTTAAATATCTTATATTGATTCTCGTTGTTCTAAAAATAATGATTGCATGGTACACTTAGAAAATTTTTATCGAAAAATCACTCGTAAATACGGTAACGATACATTTTGGAACAAGCCCGTGCTCAAAGCTTTGCTTTTAACGTGGTTACGATGATGTTTTGTTACAAACAGTACAGCATTAATAGTATAAAATTACATACATATTTCGTTGATAGAAAAAAGTTATTTAATCACTCAAAATAATTCTCTGTCGTTTTCCTATTCTACGTAAAAACGAGAATCTCTTTCGATTCTTTAGGTACGAGGATTTCTTCAGCATTGGATGGCCCCATGAGTGTTATTTTCGTTGAAACTGTGAAATTACTTCACCTTTATATTATAAGTAAATAAGAGTTTAATTTAAATCTTATAGTCAATAACAGGCAAGTTACGGCAATGTATTTGACCGATATGATCAGCATCAGTGGAGATAGTCTGAAGCTATACAAACGAGTTATTAGGACAAATTTGATGATGATTCCTATCTCGGCAGACTTTTATTGTTCTTACTTTGACTTATGTCGAAGAACCATCATTGTGGTACGAAAGAGTCAGTGAGCAATGCGTAATATTATCATCAGCACAGTGAATATGCTGAACACTTGGGTGAATCGACGCAACCAGTACAATCTGAAATAAATAGAATATTTATGAATACGTGTCAACATTTCGTTTTTTCAAATCACCCTGTAATACGCACACATGTAGCCGATTTCGAGCTGTTTTCAGTGTCTCAGGAGTATCCTTCTGAATAAACGTTCTAATTCCCAGAATGTAACTGCGTAAATAAGACTCCCAATTCAAATCTTCCGAGATCACGACAAAATTATTGGAATCCTTCAATGATTTTACTTTCTTCGCTAATTCGTACAAGTTGTCCCTGTGAAAGTGCCACTCGTGCATCGTAAAGTACTCTGACGCCTCAGCAAGGCGTAGCACACGGTTCGCGAGTTTCATCATTCTAAAATCAATTAATGAAAATGATATCGTTCCGAGTTGGCAACGATTAGGTAGGTACCGTACACTTACATAGGTTTACCACCTGTTAGCTTTACAAATATGTCTATGAGAAAAGCGGGGAATATGTTCAGAGTGAATAATATTAGATTATGAATAAATCTGTTCTGTCTACATGTACAGCATGGATACCACATGACATATTGCGATGGCGTCTCTATGGCGTATTTCTTGGTGAGCCCGATCAAGGTACCCCAACTGAAATCGTGAAGATGGAGGAGTTAGCAAGATTACCAATATACAAGGTGTTCGACAATAGGTGACTGTTGAAAAAATAGCGTTAACGAAATAGCGTTTGCGGCTTTGTTTTCCAATAATTAACGTTTAAAAATTCGAGTAAAAAACGCCTGAAACCTGCAATCCGCCCAGCACCGACGACTGAACGTCAGGTTAGCAGCATTTTCTCGGTACTGCAGCATTCGGCTTCGATTCTTGGTTATGACTGTACCGACCCCTGCTGACCTGACGTTCAGTCGTCGGTGCTGGGCGGATTGCAGGTTTCAGGCGCTTTTTACTCGAATTTTTAAACGCTAATTACTGGAAAACAAAGCCGCAAACGCTTTGATTTTCTTTCTTGATTTTCGTCTTATTTTGATCCCTAGAATCACCCCTTAAAATTTTGCCCACCTGTTATCGAACACCCCCTACAATAGATTCCCTTTTAATATTACCTTAGAGGTGACGCGCTATTAGTGCAATTATAAACCTTAATTGTATCACGCTTTTGCACCGAGGTATACCATGCAGCGCATATTAACGTATCGATAACGCGGTCCACAGGTATAAGGTCACATTTTAATTTCGAGTTGGTGACAACTGATTTGACGTTGCCGTTGCCGATTTCTATGAGCGTAGCTGAAATATTCAATTATATAATATTTACTATGCAAAGTTAACGAAGCAATTAACATTTTTTTTTTTTTTCACGCAAATACCTGTTGCTCCAAAAATATTGTCCACCCATCCAGGAAACGGTTCCTTTTCAGCCGCGCCAATTATGCTGGGTCGTACGATCGCGATCGGCAAATCTTTACCTTTTTCCAATATAATCTGCTCAGCCAATTTTTTCGTGAACGTATACGTGTTCGGATGTATCTCTAGAACCTTTTTCTCCAGTACGTTCAGCGCATCATTGTCTAGACTTTCGCACATATCGATTATCGTGGAAGGCTTCACGTTTGTGCTATGATATCATTAATTAATACATGAATATTACACGTTACTGCCGCGATACGATGGCATTGATTTTAATAATTTAGAAATTTTCCCTCAATTAACATTAGCATTCAATCACCTTGTACTTTTCATTTCCAAGATTTAAAATTAGGAAAAATATAAAATAGAGAAGAATTTATACTTACGGATAGATGACCTCCTCGATATCGACTCGATTCGAGTTACTGTAAGCTGTGCTAATGTGGATGAAGCTAATCAAATTTTTCATGGATTTGCTCAGTTCTATCATACGATCGGTACCGTTCGTATTCAAATTCACGGCTACTTTGACCGGTTCGTTGAATTTCACCGTGGCCGCGCTGTGAAATATTATGTTCACCCTTTCCGTAAGCATGCTCTTGTCTTCTTGCGATAGACCTAGATCCGGTAGGGCAACGTCTCCCTTGACTGGCTTAATTTTACTTAACAATTTCGATGATCGAATTTCATCGAACACCTGGACAAAAAACAGAGATTTTACATATATTTCACGAAAATCTTTTGCTTTAACACGAATCCTTCATATGTTTTCAAACCAAGTATCTACTGATTTTAATACAAGATTATTGAATGTTCATACAATGATATCGGCTCTGAAAATGTTCATCGTGTATACTGAGTTTATTTCTTAAATGATTCGATGCTGGAGTTAGTTGTTACTTTCGAGAAAATGGTTATTCAACAGTGTGCAGTGTACGTTACGTTCAAACTTTCACATCCTTCCCACGAGTAGATGCTACGCGATCGGCAACGGGATAATTCTACCGGTTATTCATCGATCCTCTAACGTTCGTGAATTTCTATCGATTAATTAATCCGGTTCGTTGCCTATCTATCGGTAGCAATTTGGAAGAGAAATCGTTTCGTTGGTTTGTTAAAAAAAAAATTTCTTTCTCTTTTCACAAGATAATCGATTCGTTAGTAGGAAAAAAGTTAGAAGATCGTGTGATTTACGAACAAAGCTCTCCAGGAAGCTGGTGAATCGTTGCTCGACCGTTTGGTTGCGTTTCGGACGAATCAGGATAAAAATGATGGCCAGACGTGGACAGACTCGAAGCAACTTTTCCACCAGAGCTTTCCCTACGAAACCGGTCGCTCCGGTTATCAGGATCACCGACTCGGCGAAAAATGCATCGATGGACGTTTCGTCGCTTCCTTTTTCGGTGTTCGTTTGTGCATTCGTTGTGCCCATTTCGATGGTTCAAGCGGTAACGGGTCCAATATCTGCAACAAACGAGAATCGATCAATAATTTTATAATATCATACCAAATCTGACTATATTAAATTTAATTAAGTATGCTGTTAATTTATGAAATTATGATACTGGCTGTCGATGACCCCTCATGGTAATTAATCTGTTCAGTTCATTGAATAATTATGAAGTGTCTATAAAAAAAAAAAAAGGGGGGCACATCCTCCACAAGGATTCTAAAATTAATGTCCTTGTATAAATTCTGCTTCTGATTTTAAATGTGTTGCGTAATCGATATACCACGGCATGTGTACGAAGATTTAATAATTAATTAGCCGATCAATTCAAGCAGCCAGACGAAGGTTCACGGGAAATAGCATAAGATAACCTTGTCCTAGAAGATGGCATCACACGTGGCGAAAAAATGCCACTATCCTCGTCGTCTAAAGTGAAAAATCCTCTTTTGCTAAACGGATTGCTTGTTATGTTAGAAGTTTACGGGTCTTACGATTTATTGAACGCCACCGATTCTTCGACGATCTATCAATCTTATTTACGCTCGTTTGATTTTGAACAAGGTGAAATGATAATTTTGTGGAGGTACCATTCTTTTCATCGACGCCCTTTTTAGTTTTCAAAACGTACACGGAACGCGTTAAAATTTGCAAAGTTTAATCTCATTTTAAAAATAAATATTAACATGATTTGGAGAGTTCGAGCACAGCTTCTTATCGCGCACGATGTACAGAAGATAATGCTGCTTTTGAGTGATTGATTTTTTTGTTTTCGAATGGAGGAATGACGAAAAACGAATTGATAATCCCCTGCAACTAGTGCGAGGGGTTATCATTTGTTATCAGCTTTGGTATACTGACCTGACTCACGTTTGAATATATAACATTGATTGCGGGTGTGTATAGAAAAAAAAAAAGTTTATTATTGGATTATGTTTGATCCAGCATCCATTGTTTCTACAATTATATCGCTGTTAAAGGGTATAATTAACGCGTTGACCGTCACAAAGAAAATGGATGGGTGTAATATCGACGTGTTAAAATTCTAAATCTATTTTTTCTGTCTATTTGTCTATTTCTCTACTCTACTTTTTTATTTCTCTATTTTCCTATATAAAAAGACTCTAAAGACATCTACTTTATAGAAACAACTGGCTGTTTTGCCTCTAATACGCAGGTGCTTCGAAAGAATTGATCGACATCGTACTTGGACATTCAAGATATTGATCGGTCCTCCATTTCGCAACCTACATTCTATGTACACATTTCATGGACGAGACTATTAAATTGTGTTCAAATTCCATCAATCGGTCCTTTGATCCAAGCCACCTAAAGAATCTTCTTCCCACTGAAAGATAAAAACCCGAACCTTTCAATGCCAAGTCTAAATTAGTAATTCGCAATACTTGTTGACAACGAACATGTTTTTGGCCAGAAATAATAAAAGTTGCGTAATTATAAAAGGCAAACGTTTAGATCATGATAAATGGACGATGTGTTTACAGAAAATGTAAAATACACAAAAAAGTTTTGCTTATTCATCGTTCATTTGGAATTCGATAAAATTTGTCGAAATTAAGAAGTCGTTCAACTCGTTCTTACTGGTTTCTTGTTTTGCAATCTTTCATGTGAGGAAATTGTGGCACGTCGATTTTATTGGCGAAATTGACCAATGGTTTTAACAAAAAGTTAGATAGTTTTTATCTAAAATCTTTCGTTTTTCCATGAATATTATTTTATGTTGAAGCAACGATAATTCAGCATCTATGTAAAAATGTATATTTTATTTGATAACATAATTTAATTAAATGGCATGTTTAATAGAATGATGATACGAGTGGCGATAAAGTAGGATTTAATTTAATACCATCAGTGACATATGGGGCTGATCGAAGCTTGGCATTGAATTTATTAAAATAATTGAAAATAAAAAACTGCTAAAAAAAAATAAAATGCTATAGATATAGATATCTTTCATTTTTTTAAATAATTTATATTATTCTGTGATAGTCAAAATATTATAATAAAGGTAATAAAGGTAATTAAGGTGTTACTTCTAATTAGGATAAAATCAATGCAAGATCAATGCAAGTTCCCGGTGAATGA